TTGCATACTCAGAATAACAAAACACATCTATGTAAAGATATAAATACCTGGGTGCACGTGGACGTGAGTGCTGGTCTAAACTAAAAGAAGAAACAAGCACACTCTAAGAAATGAAAGAATGATACTCGTCTGATAACACTCTTTTCTTCAATACCTTTGAAAATATACCATCTCATTTTCGACGAAAGCGATAGATAAATATTTTCTAAGGGTGCAGGTGTTTCTTCTTTTAGTTTAGACCCACACCCATCAGTTTCATCAGTGAAATTTTGTCATAAAAAAATTCTTTTTTGATTTCTTCTACCAAGTAATGTTTTTATTATTATTGAGTTATTAAGTTTATATTGACAAAGGCAGAGAAGGAGATTATTCATTTCTTCTATAAACTATTATTCAAACACATGGCAATGGCAAATAACAAAACACAATGCTTTACATGTAATAAAGAAAAAATAACTTATCCTTGCAAAGGATGTTCAAAAGAATTTTGTTTTATGGATTTAGCAGAACATAAACAAATATTAAATGATGAATTAAATCATACTATTAATAACTATGATGAGTTTAAACAAAGAATTAATGAACAAAAACAAAATCCACAAAATCTTGCATTAATAAAACAAATTGATCAATGGGAAACAAAGTCAATTGAAATAATTCAACAAAAAGCACAAGAATGTAGAAAAGTTGTCATTGAATCTTCACAAACATTCATTAATAATATTGAGAAGAAATTCAATGATTTATCTGATCAAATAAAACAAATTCATGCTGAAAATGAATTTAATGAAATTAACTTAAATTATTTGAAAAATAAATTAATAAAAATTAGAAAAGAATTCAATAATCCGACAAATATTTCTATTAAAGAAGATTCACAACCGTTTATTAATGATATTTCAATTATTTCATCAAAAAGTAAGTTTTTAAAAAATTATTTCTAAAAGAATAATTCTCACTCTTTTCATCATTTTCTAGAACCGACATTCAATAAATGGAAACAAAATGCTATCACTGTTGTTGGTGAAGATGGATATGGACTAAAATTTAATCAATTACATGGTCCTCACGGAATCTTTATTGATAAAACGAAAAATATTTTCATTGCTGACTGTTGGAATCATCGTATTGTTGAATGGAAATATAATGCAAAGGAAGGACAAATCATTGCAGGTGGAAATGAAAAAGGAAACCAAATAAATCAATTGAATAATCCAACAGATGTGATTGTTGATCAAGAAAATCATTCGATCATTATTGCTGATAAAGGGAACAGACGAGTAGTTCAATGGTTGAATCAAACTCAACAAATTCTCACTGAAAATACTGACTGTTGGGGTTTGGCAATGGATAAACATGGATTTCTTTATGTTTCTCATTATAAGAAGAATGAAGTAAGGCGATGGAAAATGGGAGAATACAACAACAAAGGAAACGTAGTGGCAGGTGGAAATGGAAAAGGAAATCAACTCAATCAACTTGATTTTCCTCGTTTTATTTTTGTTGATGAAGATCAATCTATTTATATAACAGATTACAACAATGATCACGTGATGAAATGGGGAAAAGATTTAAAAGAAGGAAGAGTTGTGGCTGGAGGAAATGGTAAAGGAGGAAATCTAAATCAATTGTCTTCACCTCAAGGTGTAATTGTTGATGATTTGGGTCAAATCTATGTGGCAGATTGGGAGAATGATCGAGTAATGCGTTGGTGTGAAGGAAAAGAAGAAGGTGAAATTATTGTTGGTGGAAATGGTGGAGGAAATCAACTGAATCATTTCATGGGTTTATCTTTTGATGATGAAGGGAATCTCTATGTTACCGATCTTTGGAATAATCGAATTGAAAAATTTAAAATAATTCTGTAAATGAAATTTTGATTTTAAAACAAAAAAAAGAAATTTTTTTAAAATAAAAAATCGAGAACTAAAAATGAAAAAAAGTGGAGTTTTATTGTTGGAAATCAATGAAAAAACCTAATAAGTTTTGAAGAAATGAAATTTTTGATAAAAAACAATGATGAAAAATCCTTGTAACTATTTTTCTTTGATATTGGATTTAATTTGAGAATTCTAAGTAAAAGAATTCTAATAGATAAACGATAAATTCTTTATCTTTTGTTGAATTTTACAGAAGAAAAAGAAAATTTTGAGGGTGGGTGTGGGTTTGAGTGTAGGTATTACATTAACCTTACTCTCACACCCACACCTACCCTAGTCAATCAAAAAAAGTGACTTAAGTCTAAGTCATGACTCGGACTTGCCTAGTCCTGCTTTATACTGGTGTGGGCCAGTCACTTGTCTGAAGACTAGAGAGAACGTAAAATGATTTTTTTTATTCTGTTTCTCTTATTCCAAAGAGCATGTGTGACGCTCTCTCTAGCATGCTATTCGTCCTTTCGATTTTTCTCATTTATTGGATTAACATTTTTATGCTCGTACTTTTGTGCATTTTGATGTACTTTGGCGTTCTCTTTCTTTTCGTTCTATGAGAGGAAGAAATAAATAAAGACTTAGTATCATCAGTGCATCCATCTCGTCCACGAAAATCGTCACAGAATGGTATTTAAGTGGTAAAAAAATACACTGAGTGTGAATAGACACTGCACTTCGATATTAGACATTTGTTTTTACGTTATAATTCATATTGGAAGAAAAAGAAACGAAACGGTTTATATTTGACTGCAAAAATACGCTGTAATAGTCAAAACATTTACACTTATCTGTCCGGACCAGGTGAATACCCATAAAATTATTCCCAGTTTGCAGTCGTGTTTAAGACGATGCAGTTTATTCATTTCAAACTCCATTTTATATTTTCTCTTGTAAAGCATAGTATCAAGAAACATCCGAAGATTATGCGCTGTAAGGGATTCTTTTCAGTTTACAGCGTTGTTGAATTCAAATCATCTTTATTTATTGTGGGTGATCGGAATTATCCTAAAAAAAGCGCTATACGCATATATACAGTTCATTGGCGCCGTCTGCTTTGCCAAATCGTATTAGATTTGCTGAAAATCTAAATGTGGAACTGCTAACACGCCCATTTTTCAGTATCAAAACCCGAGTGAGGATTTCTGCTCATTAAGGCATAGCTTTTTGTACAACATCACTCGGTGAAACTTCTTGAAAAGCATGATTTCTCCTTTTAGACTGGATTCTTGCCGTCATGTCTCGACCAGATAATCAAAGAATTTATAATACGCCGTTGCGTCATCTTCCATCTGTGCCTAGCTCTACTACCATCATCTGTCTTGGAGATCCTAACTCATCTCACTTCAAAGCAGACTGTGAAATTTTCGATGGCTCAAGTGGTAATAAAAATTATCACATCCTTCGATATACAAGTATTGCGAAGTGTAGTAGATATTTAAAGCGAACTCGATCTTACGAACGCATCGTTGTGGCATCAACGATCGATATTCTTCATCAAGTTTCGCGCTTGAGTCACTATCCACAGGTACATTCAGTTTTATTGATTGCACCAAACAGCGCGAAGACAGAGAATAACTTAACTATGCAAAAAAAAACTTTAGAAGACGCTAACATCTCGCTGACCATCTTTCACACTTATTCCTTGATGGTGACTCGACTAAAACAGTTAATTGCTGAACTTGATGAATTTCATTATACACCATTCGTCACGTTTAATTGGCAAGAAAAATCACTTCTTGATCTTAGTCAAGAACTTGGCCTCTTTGTATGGGGTCATTCGTACAAAGGTTAGTGTTTATTCTAAGCCTCTCAAGATCTCTCCTTCGATTGTATAAGAGAAAAAATTAGCATGACAGTACTTTAGTTTTTGATGTCAGGTAGCTCTACAACTAATCTTAAACTGATGGTGATAAGATCATTGATTCGTGGTTTTCTACGATGATAGATATTTTGATCGAGATGTCTTCCAATTCAGCCGAAGCAAAAAGACAAATGCTTGCCGAATGTCGCGCCCACTACCGAGGAAACAATTGCATTTTAATGAAGATCGCTGACTTCGCTCGTGACTACCGATCAGATGATGCTATTTATTGGTATACAAAACCTTGTTTTCTTCATCAGTTAATCAATAAAGCTTTACGCTGGGACAGTGTTATGGCATCGTATACGTTTCGTTATTTCATCATCGACTTAAGTGTACGCATACGAGAAATGGCTAAAGATACTAAACAGTGTCATAATTCGCCATTTCGTGTTTACCGTGGATCCATCATTTGTCGAGAGGAAGTGGAACAGTTAAATGTTGGTACACTAGTGGCAACCAGAGGTTTCTTTTCAACATCCAAGAATTCAGACGTTGCTAAACAGTTCCTTGCGATTGATCCTGATACAAACATGCCCCCGCACCGCAGTATTGAAGATAAACAGCAATTTGTTCTATTCAAGATTGATGTAGATTATATTCGCTCGCCCAAAATTATTGTAGCAGATGTGTCATCTCAGAGCGCTGTTCCTGAAGAACATGAAATGATTTTCGATATCGGCACTACTTTTATTATTAAGAAAATTGTGTATGATAGCGGCCATAAAATGTGGTTCATTTACTTGGAATCATCTTCAGAAGTCGATAGGCTGAATCTTAAATATAGACTGGACACTCGAACACGTTTGGCTGATACTCCTGCGATGGTACTTTTTGGTAGATATTTATCTGATGTGTCGAGCAAAAATAGAGAAGCTCTGGAATATTTTCAACGTCTATTACGCTCAGTAACAGTGCATGATGAAAATCGCCCTCAAATTTACTTCAGCTTAGCACGTATTTATCGTGTAATGGGCAAATACGAGCACGCCATCCATTATTACCGATGTGCTCAACTATTATATCGACGCACATTACCTCAATCGAGCCTTGGTTACGGTTGCAGTTTGTCTGGTCTCGGAACCGTATACTCTCTTTTAGGAGATTCTGCCCGAGCCTTATCTTTTTGTACACAAGCAATGATTATTCACCAGCACTGCCTAACAAACAATCATCTTGAGATAGCCATGAATTGCAATCGTGTAGCAACTGCATATTGGTTGTGCGGGAATTATGCGCATGCACTTCTACTGTTATCACGTAGTGTAAATCTTTATAAACAAAATCTTCCCACAGACCACCCATGCAAGGCGCAATCCTTTCACATAATGGGCCTAGTGCATTCTTCATTAGGAAATTGTGGACAGGCTCTTGCTTGTTACAAGACAGCTTTAAATATGCGGGAATCAATGTTAGGCAAAGATCACCATTTAGTTGCTTTTACATGTTATCGACTAGGACTTTTCTATGCTAATCAAGCCAACACGAAGTCAGAAGCTCTTCAATATGCACGAAGAGCACTGCGGATCATGCAAGCTAGACTGCCAAAGAATCATCCTGATGTAAAGATGAGCATGAAACTTGTTGAAAATCTGTCACAGCAGCACTGACTTTGACCAATATATGACCTTATTAAAGTTTTTTATGAGTGGGTGTGGGTGAGGGTGAGATGATCATAACATTTTCACGAATAATGCATATGAATGTTTCAGAAAGACAATGTAATCTGATCTTTAGCTGAGTTTTTAAAACAACTGAATAACAAAAATAATCGTTTTTATTTATCATAATATTAATAGAATAAAGTATAAATACTGAAAAAGTTTAAAGTATTTTTCTCTAGAATAAAATATGATCAGTAATTTAATTACTAATTTTCTCCTTCAAAAAAAAGATTAACGAGGAGATGAAGCATTTTGTGGAAATTGACCCATCATATTATCAGCGGGATCATATTGTGCTACAACAACGACTTTTCATTCACTATTTCCAAAAGCAACTCTCGTGCCTTGCTTAGTACTACTTTTTCAATTAACATGGGTAAAATGACCGGTCGACATTGAAAAACCTGACCGATCGAAGTTATAATGTTTAATTTCATCATACCATGATTGAGTAGCTCTTGTACCTTTTTTTAGAAACCATTGTATTTAATCATGTTCTATAGACTGAATAAGATATTCATCGAAGATAATGTTGTTACTATAAATCATAGATAAACACTGCTATTTGCTGATGATACCCAATAAAAACTGATATCTTCAAATTTTGTCTTGTATTAATATCGATTTGAAAATGAAAAATATATAATTTAGGTTGGTCCTAACAGGGATGATTATATATTCTACACATAATGAACCTTTATAATAAAGGGCGAAAAGACTCGATATAAGATACTTATTCATGAGAGCAATTTTACTATTTTATTATTTATAGTAAGCCTGTTGATATCAGTTAATCCTTTCAGGACGGGATTATTTTTTTGAAAAGAAATAGATTTTAAAGAATCAGACGATTCTGTTTTTTATTTAAATTTATTAATATGCTGTGTACACGATCGCATCACCTAACAACACAATATTCACCTATGTATGCAAGAGAATAAATCAAGAAGATACAGCATAATCGTTTAATGCATAGAAGAAAAGGAAGAAAATAGGTCATAATTACGCAAGTCATATAAGATATATATCACCGCTATAAGTATATTCTAACGTGTACACAACTACTTATCATCGTCAATAGATAACATGTTTCTTTAAAAAAAAGACTGGTATATACGGTGTACCACCCGTCCTGAAGGAGTTAATAATAGAACTTAATAATTGGATTTGATTAAAATAATGATGAAATAGAATAAAACAAGTTCTTTACATAACAGTGATTCTTTTTATAAATTTATGCAATCTTGATTAATATACTATGACATACTATAGACGACTAAATCCTGACATTAACAAAGAAATATTCTAATCTATTTTGATGAAAGCATGATATTATATACAATAACATGTTTTTTTTGACTTGTCATTGTTAATTAGAGAAAGAATTGTTGATTAGGAGAAACAAAATCTTCTATTTTACTCGATTATCATGATGATATGAGAATTCTCAATTCGTGTTGTTCTTACAATTGTATCTGTATTTTATTTTCTAATAAAACAATAATTTACTTATGAAATCTGTTTTATTTTACTATCGAATTAAGATATTCTGACTTGCAAAATTCGAGATTCTTTTTTAGTATTATTATGGTAATTGTTAGTTCTGTTTCCGTAAGAATTTCAAAAATGTAGATTTGTGTGTAAATCCTGAAATTTGCTTGTAAATAAATTATTTAATTTGGTTTTCTAAAATTATATTTCTATGATGTCTAGAAGTTTATGTGACATTTTCTGTTCTATATATTAAAAGGAGATAAAATAATAAGCAATGTACCCAGTCGAAGGAAACGACAGATAAAATAATCCTTTTCTGAATATTCTAATTGACATACAACCTTAATGAAGGTATTCATGCATGATTAATTCAATGGACTACTCGTTTGCTTTTAGAAGAATTATTTAGTTTAGTTTTCTAAAATGATATTTCTATGATGTCTAGAAATTTATGTGACATTTTTCTATTCTATACATTAAAAAGAGATACAAGAATTATCTTACCGCCATCGCTAGTAGATAGCAATACTATGGAAAGTCAGTCGTACTTCCTATATGAGTACCTTCACTAGTAGATCTTTTTTAAAATCTCTGTTAAATCTATCAACTTAGCGAGTAAGTATAATTATATTTTCCTTCTCTTATATTTAAATCAATGATTGTAATAGACTTGTCAGGAATTATACATATTATTTATTCTAGATTCTATTGTTAAAAAGAGCGAAAGAGAAAACCAAATGAGTTTATTATCAAACGATAGTAGTGTGAGCAGTGCCGGAGCTATATTGAGTATTACACTTGCTCAAAAAATTACATTTGGTTTTCTGATCGCTTTGATTTTACCATCTGTTGCTAGTTCATGTTTTGTATTCTATCGTGTGACACAAAACAAAGAAATATTTAAAAAATTAAGTAATCAATTGATCTTTTGTCTTTTTTTGATTTATTTTATTCAGGTAAAAATATTTTTATGAATATTATCTATAGAAAAAGAAACAAATTTTATTTATACAGGCTATACTTGATTTACCTCTTACAATTAAATTTCTTCATCGAGGTGAAGTAGCAATTCCAAACTATACATTTTGTACATATTGGTTTACACTAATGTCTACTCTTAATATGTGTACTATGTATTTAAATGCTTATTTATCAATTGAACGTTACTTACTCGTATTTCATAATAAATTTCTACTCAAGTAAGTTAATTTAAATATATAATTCTATTGATAATATCACTTTGTGTTAACAGATACAAGAACATCCTACATTATATACCAATGTTTTTAATACTTATCATTTCGGTAGTCTTTGTATTCAGTTTTTCAGTGCTCTATCCATGTCAAACTCAATTTAATTATAATGCTATTGTATGTGGCAGTGTATGTTCTATATTAATTCGAGATTTTGGGCTATTTGTGTGGATTTTGACGTTTGTAGCACCATTATTTGTCATCATTTTCTCAAACGGTTTTATTCTTACAAGAGTTATTCTTCATAAACGACGAATGTTACAAAAAAATATTTGGCAAAAAAATAAAGGAATGGTATTACAACTTTTATCAGTTACGGGAATGTTATATATTTCTTGGTTACCTGTAAGCATAACTACAGTCATCTATACAGCACATTCAACTCCACTCATACGAGAAATCCATGATAATTGGCTAACACTTGGTTTGATTTATATTCCTGTGTTAAGTTCACCATTAACAACAAGTTTTGCAATACCCGAACTGAGGAATGATATTCGCGTCTGGCTTAATCGAAGACGTCCACATGTTAATATTATGCAAACTCATCCCACTATTCCGGCTGGAACATAAGAAAATGATCTATTTCGGTGAAACAATATTAATGTTGTGTTGTAATTTAATGTATCATTCCCTCTATGTTGTATATTCAAGTAATATTTAAGCATTGTTTATTACGTATATTCATTTTGTATTGCTTTTGTCGTTGTTGAGCTCATCAAAAAAAATAAATTTTCTTCTATTCTATCAACAATTTCTTTAATGTAGAGAACTTATTCATTACAATCAAACTGTTTATTAATATATATCATGAGTGAGAATGAGGATGAGGTGTTGACTTGAATGCGGAAATAAACATGAATATATGCTTGTGTGTAAATGACTGATGAATCTACGTCTCCGTGTCGGCGAAAAAACATCCAATAGATACATCTGTTTCGTCAAAATGAAATAAATTTTCTTCATCTCGTTTGCATCTCAGACGATGATATAGCTAAATCAAAATTTACAATAGGAAGAAGAGAAGTTAACTATAATACAATTAAAATAATATTTCAATGAAATATTCCAAAATCTTGGGTGTGAATGACGGTGAGGGCGTTGATGTGAGTGTGGGTATCTTCTCTTTTCTCACCCATATACATCCACAACCTCAAGATGGTTTTCCAGGATTTTAGTCTGTAGTTGATTCACTAATGATCAATAAGCTAGAATAAAATTGACTGGTCGAAAGCGGACTTCGGGATAAAATCAAAAGAACGCACGCTAAAATAAAAACAATGACTAGTCCAAAGTTACTTAAAACTTTAACAATCAAAGTAAGAGGGTGCAGATGTAGATGAAAGAGAGACAGCCACACTAGACATAAACTCACCCACACCTTCACATACCCTCATACCGATCAACATATATACTGGCCATCTCTATATTTTTTACTGACCAGTTAATATATTAGCGAGAAGAAATATCCTGCAACGAACAAAAGCAAGCAGAAAAGAAACTGTTTATATTGCGTCGAATCTTGGTTAGATAAATGTTTTGAAATGTGTGGTTGTTGTTTAATCATAATAGGAATCTGCTGAGGAGATTGCAGTGTAAGTGATGATAGAGTTGCTCTTGGTGATGCAGAATTTCCAACAAATTCTGGTAAAAATCTTCGAGGTATCAGGTACGAAGAAATATTGAAGAAGTCAATAAACACTTGATATTTTTCACTTAAATAAAGGCAAAAGACAAAGATCAGTATGCATATATTTTATGAATTATAATAAAACAAGATCAAAAACTAATTTTAAATGATATTAAAATTTTATTACTATTATTATATTTTTTTCACTTACTTAAGTGTTGCTTGGAGATAGGTGAATCCATCAGTACCTCCTGTACCTGGTTTTCGACCAATCTGACGAAGAACCAAAAGAATATGCCTATCTAAGAATGCATAAACATCATAAAATATTTTTTAAAAGAGACAAGTTTATTCTACATACGACGCCAACTTGTCATTAAAGTATCGTTATCCATGAGTAAACTAATTATTTGATATACCTGTTGAAAACAAGGTTGTTGATAATAATGTGCAATCATCAACGCAGCTAACATAGCTTTATGACTCATTCGACGTTGGTTATTATTCACAAGTACTTGATATTTTATAGAATTAATCATTTCATCAAATTGCAATTTCGCCTTGTCGGCCTCTATTTCAGCAATCTGTTCATCGATGCCATTCTGCTTATAAGAAATATAAGAAAGATTCAGTTTATTGATAATAGTTTGATTCATACCTGAATTTTTTCTTGTTTATCATGATCAATCATAGATTCCACAGCTTCTTCATAGACTTCACAAAAGTTAAATGATGTCTCATCATAGATTTTTTCAAGCCATCGCTAAAACGTCAATAGAACATAGTCTATAGCTATAATATAGTGTCATATATTACTTCAATATGCCGTAACAATGAAACTTCTCCTATAGATGTTTGAAGTTCATTTGATTGTTTGCCTTTAAACATTGTTTCAGTAAAAAAATTTGATTTATATGCATCTCGTGATTTATCGGTCAAACCGAGTTTCATTTCAATGATACGAAATTGCAAACTTTGAAATCCACTTGCTGGTGTAATAAAATCGCGAAATTCGAGGAATTCCATTGGTGTCATCGATTCAAGTAATTGTAATTGATCAATTAATATTTTCCAAACTTTTCCTATTCGATTCAAACGTAAACTGATGTCAAAAACAAAGGTTGCAACATCATCATTGCTGCCGAAAATGTCTCGAATCGAATCGATTTCGTAAATAATTTCTTTGAACCACAGTTCAAAAGCTATAAGAAGAATTCATCAATTAATTATAAAGCTTTCTTTCGATTTACCTTGATGAATTATAATGAAAAAATGTTCATCATGTACAGGTAGACTGCTTTCATTGGATCGATCAACATGACTGAGACATCGCAATGAAGATAATAATGAATTTAAACCTAAGTATGTCGTGTAATTTAATGGTTCTGTGACGTGTGCATGATCATTTGTAATACTATTTGTCGTTGTTGTCAAAATCGGTATTTCATCAACATTACTATTGTTGTTTTTCATATTATCCAAATTTGATTGAAGGTAAGGGCAAGACATAATGCTTGTATTATTATCTAAAATTTTATTCTATTAAGCCACATTTGATCACTTAAACATTTATCTGCTCGATCTCAGAATTACTATTATCATCGTAGATAAACAATTCTGTGATCGAGATTACTGTTTTGTCTCAAAATTTAGTATAGTTAATTATATAGGTAGGCAAAGTGCGTATGCTCAGGACACTAAATGAGTGTCTTTTACACTATATTCGATCGTATATATATACATCGGTTGAATCATTGTTGGTATTTTTATGATTTACTTTATTGCACTTGTTTTAACGAGAGAGAATTACGCATGATAACTATGATTTATGTAATGCGCATGTTTGTTCCTTATCAATAGTTTATTATAAAAAAAAGACGCAATTGACGATTGTCAGTAGAAGCAGTCGCCACGTGTCACGTTTTTACTATATTGTCAAAGGAATTTTCATGTTTTCAGTTATAAAATGCAGATATGGGGGTGTGTAAATGTTGGCGTGGATGTGAGTGTATATGGGCGTCGATAGGGGATGTGGATGTGGGTGTGAGTGTCGGTATAGAAAGAAGACACACCCACCTTCACACCCTCAAATGTTGCTAACGTTATTTACGTCAAGTCAGCGTCTATTTAACAAATGTATTTGTCTCTTTCTCTTCACGCTGACGCAATTATGAATAAACGTCTTGGTTTTTTCCAACTTGTCTCAAAAGATAACAAGCGTCTAAACAGTAGAGAAAAAAAACTCAAGTATGCATTTTTCTTTTACGACGCATAGCAAACCTCTTCTTCTACTGTTACACCGAAGATAAACAAATAAGTCTATCTTGAGCGTAGATGTGGGACTTGAACAGAACAAGCCGGCGTACATCCACATTGATATTCTCACTCACACCCTCAATGACGAATATAATTCGATGGTAATTTATTTAAAATTTCTGAAAATATTCCTGGGTATTCACCATATAATTGATCAAGAATAATAAAAAAAAATGTTTTAAGAACTTTATCATGTTTCCAACGATGTAGAAGATAATTTACTTCAATTGGTATCAATGATTTCTCTAATGAAATAATATAAAACTTGTGATTTACTTTCGACTGTTTGTCGAATTTGTTGTATATTGCTTTTAGGTGATGAAATTCGATTAAGAATTGTATTTAGCCATAATTAATCGATTCTTTGACAAATGATGAGATTCGGAAACTCCCATTTATCATCTATTTCTATAAACTAGAAAGCAAAACCAATCTATCTAAAATTCTTCTATTGATTTCTTGAGGGCCTCCTCCCGGGTCAAAAAAACATTTTTCTCTTCAAAAATATCGATTTTGAGATTCATCCTTATTTAAATAGTCCATAATATATATTTTCGAAGAGACTATAATTTATTGTTTTTTCAATGAGTTTCGAGGGTTCTATAGTGGAATTTCTGAAAAAAAACGACAACTACTGAAGCTATGAGAATTTATCTCTATATCAAGTTTTCAAGAAAAAAATTTCGTTAATCAAAGTAAAAATTTGTTTTGCATTTTTCTTGAGGGGGGGGGTGTTAGGTGAATACAGTATCCCTATCACACCCACACTCTCATTTTTACGCGCCTTTGTATCATCGAAACATTCATTCATTGACAACTGATACATGAAATTAAGGCTATTCTTATTGTTATTGTATCCATACATTATATGTTTTTCATACTGCTTTCTCTTGTGTTGCATTGTGTTATGATATTTACGTAATTTGATGATATTACAGTATGTGTGTGTACTAGAACGTGAGAATCAATATTTTTCATCAAAAACATTTAGTTTTTTTTTTTGATTAACACTGTTTTTATCAAAAAAAGGTGTATCAAATGACATTTACCCTTTTAGAGTTGTGGTTACGAAATCAAAGTGCAATTAAATTTAGATGTTTTCTACACTATCAAAACAAATCAAAGGAAAGACGTTGGTAATAAGTGTGAATTTCATATTTTCCTTGTATTGCATGAGTGAGAAATGATATGCAATAGTACGTGATGTTCAGTGTATTGCATGAATAGTAACAAATTATTATTTATGTCTCCTCATATATTTTTCTATCACATGTGTATCTCAGTTATTGTCATGTGAGAGCAGTAGTTAATTGTTTTGTTGACTGAAAACAATTTTGTTTGTTTCTCTACCTCTGAGTATATATATACATACACCTTTTCTCATAGTTTCACAAACCAGTTCTTATCTTACTTCAGTTTTATTTTATACTACATTATTACTATTAATATGCCAGGCTGTGGTTGTGGTTGCGGATGCGGTTGTGGTTGTGGTTGTGGCTGCGGCTGTGGCTCGTGTTGTAGTTCATGCTGTGACCCTTGTTGTTGTTCTTGCTGTGATCCTTGTTGTTGCTCTTGCTGCGACCCTTGCTGTGATTGTTGCTGTGGTCCATGCTGTTGTGTACGTAAAACTGTGTGCTGCTGCAAACCATGTTGCAAAGTTATCAGAAAGAAAACTGTCACCGTCAAAAGATCATGTGCCAAGGTTTGCTGTTGCTAAATTAACAATTTTGATCTTTCTCTATGAACTCATTCAATATCTAATTTATAAATGTTTTTTGTCTCTCCTATTTTCCACATAACCATCATATTGTTCATCCAAATCTCTTCTTTCTTTTTCTTATTTTTTTCTCCAATTTCATTTACTTCTTATACAATTGGAAAGAAGATGTATTACATCATCTTCTTTGTTGTTCTCCACTTTGACGAGAAGTGAGAGGAATGCACTGTAATCACCCTCTTTCTTCTCCTTATTTTCTTTTGTTCATTTCTTCACCTCGCACTTCTATGTGTACGTGAATAGGATGGGTATGAATAGCTAGTTCTTTAAAATAAAATTACTGAGTGGATAAAAAAAATTTTCTTCTTCTCACTTGATCAATTCAGTTACAATATGGTCTTTTAATAATAAAGAATATTAAAACTCGGATAAGTTCACTTTTATGCTGTATTTTTACTTTTTATTATACAAATGAGGTACATCAAAAAAGAGTCTGATTGATTTTCTTGGATAAAACATGTTGAGTGTAAATCGATGCGTTTTTTTTAAATATTGATTATTATATATGCAAATATTGTTTCAAATGTAGAAAAGAAAAAGAATCAAAGACAAACAGTTCTTTTATTGAATATGTAAAATAATTATTTCGAAGCAAATTCAAATAGTCAAAATGTAATCAAAATCGAAACTAATCTAACACACCTGGCTTCATGAATAATGATCTTGTTATAGATTTATTATTATCTTAATCATAATTCAAGTTTTACAATTAGAAGAATTTTTTCCATTCGATGAGCGAATAAAATAATTGATTATAAACCTTATATATGCGATTTTTTAATTCATGAGCAACAATAATCAAATGATAAGATTTTATTTTCCCAAGAAAATTCTTTTTGTTCTGAAGATTGATGTAAAAAATACGACGAAAACAAATAAAAGAATACAATCAATTCGTTATATGTAATGAAATGATTATTATACGTTAAATTTAGAAATATTCATAATTTAGTTAGAAGAGGTAAAATCTTGGAATCTAGAATTAAATCCAATCTGTATTTAATAACATGCAATATTGTTAGAATATATTTACTTTTTAAAATTCCTGTTTGTATAGAGACGTCAAAGTCAAAATCGATTTATTGATGACTATCAATGGTGGGTTATCGACTTGTGAATTTTATTGATAGAATAAAGCAACCTCGTCCTTACTTTCCTTCTTCCAATTGTCACACTCAACTCATTCATCTCTAATAAACAATGAATTTTTCAATCGAACATACATTCTGCAACACTTTTTTTTTCTATTCTCGAGGTCAAAATTTTGATTAAAATGGTGAAATTTATATTATATGTTCGAATCCGTTGAAATGGGCTTATTATTAATTATTTTTTATTATATAAACCATATATATATATACATATTTTTACTTTATTCAATTCCGATCGAAATCAGCTACCAATCTACTGACATTGCGCATAATGGTAAGCCGACAAAGGTCCGACTGGTTATCGGATCCAGTATCGACCAAACGTCTAAGTTATTTAGCAATCAAACGCAATGCCTGGACAGATGATGATGATAATAATCAGTAAGTACAATATCGATTTCAAGATGTTTAAATATCTAATATTTCAGTACCAGAGTTGATCAAAAGAACACATCCTTTACGTGGTATTGGTGTTTTAGATGCTGTATTGTTGGATCATTACTAGCTGGAATAGGTTTAGCTATTGTACTGACATTCTGGTTGACATCAAAAACAGTTGCAACAGAAACATTAAGTATGTACTATTTTCGTTGAATAACAATCTGTGATGAGATACAAATGATAATATATTACGTAGATCATTCTCCAGTTGTCATTGTAGAAAGTAAATTTTCGAAAAAAATAGTTCATCAGTACTCTTATTTTTTTTCGTTATATGACATTAAAAAATGTTCATTTGATTTTTATGTATAAAAAAAATACAGTTAGTTCTATTAAAAACTTCAAATTTGTACAGAGATTTTTAATAAAAAAGAATATTCAGAGTGTGATGTGATATTGGTCTGAATTCAAGTGTATGAGTGATTGAATGATAATTAGAATATTCACATTCTCAACTTAGAACGTAATTAATTAATTACGATGGCAGACCTTCGAATATATAAGTTAATTTAAGATCAGTCATACGTTTGTATCTTTTATAGCTCATGAGTTACATCGATTTTATTTGTAGCTCGTACTTATTTTACTGACAAATTTCCTGAAAAAAATCACAGTTTCAGAATCTTTATTATACAGTGGATGGGTGGGTGTGAGTGCTAGGCGAATACAGTATCCATACCCAAACTCTAACCCACATTCATAACTCTTTATATTTAAAAAATCATGACGATATTTATAAGGTACAACAACGATTCAGCCCACATGTAACACTAGTTGTCTCAACCAAACTTGGTTATCTACAGCATCAATCTTGGGTAAATGGCGTTTTGAAAACGACTATTCTGATGAGTTCAATTTGCATAATGGCATCGCAACAGGTAGTCCTAGTCTTGTATTTGTTCAAGGTTACGCTGGTCAAGCCATTTCATTTGCCGCTAATTCTACTCAAATGGTGTCAACTTCGTACATTCCTATAGCAAACACAAGCTTTTCTATAGATGCTTGGATTTATCCAACTGGCCTGACAAATCCAACACATCAAAGTATTTGTGGTCTCTGCCCCATAACAGTAACCGATAAATGTCTCCATATAACACTTCGTAAAACTGGCTCGATCTATCCACTTTACTTTGGTCTTTATAATGATGATGTCAATACCTATACACCAGCCATTGTGACCAATAATTGGGTGCATGCAGCTTTCGTATATGATGCCACAAATCGAACACTGTCTATCTACCGCAATGGAATTTTTCTGTCAGGAGGCTCAACCTCTTCGGTGTTGAAAGCAACCAATGGCAGCTTTCAGATTGGCAATATTCCTGTTTTGTCACAGCATATTACATTTCAGGTTTGTACTAAAATACTCGATCATCTGTATTGTTATATCGAAGGAAAATATTTTCACACTCATTTTAAGAAACATTCTGTTTCATCTGCATATAAATTGATCTTAGTTTAAGTAGCCATCAAACAGTTTTCATCTAAAAAAATTTGAATGATCTACTCGATTAGTAATATATATTCCAAACGATTACTGAGATGTGATCACAAAGTATTATTACAGTAGTATTGTATAACTTCATTAACTGCAAGCTACCAAATTATCGATCGGACATTGTGGAGCCTGTAGGCTTTGCAACAGTGCTAGTCTCAAAACATAATATGAATAACATTAATAATAGACTATACATCTTAGGTGTAAAAATGGAGACTTTCTTTCGAAAACGAACGGATGAGTTTGATTTTTTCAATGCTAAGTTTAACTAAATTAAAATATGAATAATTTCGATGATTACAGGGTTACATTGACGAGCTGTCCGTTAGTGGTCGACTAAAGTCTGCGTGTGAAATTTTGGAACAGGCCACTTTGGCGGCTCGTTTCAGCTTCGATGGAAGTTCACCACTACTTGATCTCGGACCAAATTCAGTCTCATCTGTCGCTTCAAATTATAATCTAGTCAGTGGTCGAACTCTACAAGCTATTTCATTTATGGGTATTTCCACTTCATTCTTCCAAGCATCAGGTTTTCTTGCTCTTGGCATAGCCGATCAGCCATTCAGCTTTTCACTGTGGGTGAAGCCACAGTCACTTGCGGGGACAATCGTACACGTATCGACCAATAGTTCGGGTACTGATTTTTGTGCTCCTTTTATCGGCTTCTCATCAAATGGTTCATTAATAGTTCAAATGATGACAAATACTAGTTATGTGGCTATATCGTATTCAACTCTGTCACTGACCGATTTTACTCATATTGTTCAGACGTGGAGTTCGACAAATGGACTTCGACTATATATCAATAATGTTTTAGTTGGATCAATAGCAGCGACAACTTATCAGACTGCGTCGAGTTGGGTTAATTACGTGACATTAGGTGGCTGTTTAAACGGCTGTATGAGCTGCACCACACTTCCAGGCAATCAAGTATTGCCAGGCCCATTTGCAGGTGTTGTGGATGATTTTCGAGTATACAGTCGTGAAGTGACAGCAAGTGATGTATGCACCCTATACACGTTTGGTTGAAATTTATAAACCAATCGATGAAGACTATGACTAGGGTGCGGGTGTGGACTCAAAAGAATAGACAGTACCCACACCCATTTTCGCATCCTCAATATATAATCTCATGACTTTTATTAAATTTATTTAATCAAATTCGTGTTTGATGTCTGTACTGTTTTATTATCGTTGTTTTGAACTGATTCATTTCTGTAGAAAGTTTCTCAATTTTTAATCCTATAGGCGATCGACGATGCGTAGCTAATGGACATTGTTTATAAACGACTAATGCTCGTTTATAATAATCAATTGCCAATTTACGTTGATTAAGATGTTCATAACATAAACCTATATTTTTTAAACTTTTACCAATATCTTGATGATTGGGTGGTAGAAATTTTTCACGCATTAACAAACAGTTTCGTTCGTATGCTAGGAAACTTTCATACTGAAGCTGAATTCGTTTTATATCACTTAATTCTTTAAGAAATCTATCAATAGTTAACTGTTCTGGAATAGAATTCGCTTCATCAATTCTTAAGCACTGTTCATAAAATTCAATTGCACGATCATAAGATTGTTTCTTATAATAAATAAATGCAATCCAATTGAGACTATGAATTATTTGACTATAACCAGTCGAATAAAATTCTTTAGCATATTTGCTGCTCGATAATAATAATTCAAAAATTCATCAAATTTTCTCTGATTATATTTAATAATACCAAGACATCATAAGCGTAAATGGAATATCTGCTTTGATATGTGGAGAATTTTTCTCTTGTTTTCGTTGAAGATTACCCATTTGATTTAAACTCTCAATAATTTTGATAATTTTGGTAGGACAATGAATTTTTAGAATATTTAATGCTTTCTGTTCGAAATCAAATACTTCATCAAATTTATTTTGACACATTAAAGCTTCACTAATATTGCTAAGATTATTAGCAATCATTATATAATCAGTTGGATTAGATTTTTCTGTAAACGTTATTGATTGTTGAGCGAAATCAAAAGCTTCAGTAAATTGATTTTGTCTGAGACATATATGACTAATTCTATTGAAACTGCTTCCTATGCAAGTATTACCTCGTGTAGTACCGTTTTCCTTTCGAGATATTAGTACTTGTTCGTGATGTTTAATGAATTCATCATTTTCTAATATATTATCATAGTTTATTAAAAAGGAAATTGTTTCAACATTATTAGATGAATAATATTCTTTGAGTAGGTTTATTGATCGATGATAGAAGTCGAGTGCTTTATCAAGTTTCCGTTGTTTAAAAAAAGCATAAGCCATATCATTAAGGATGTCAGCGATACGGGCTAGATATGACGGATAATATTTTTCGAGTATGTTAAGAGCTTGTTGATAATAATCTAGAGCTTTATCACAATCATTCTTTTCATCTATTTGTGTCTCGCCAATATTCTCCAAAAGAGCAACAGCCAATATGTGATTCGATAAATTAAGTTTTCTAAACATTAACAACCCTTGATCATACATTTTTAATGATTTATCGTAATTTTTTTGTCATACTCTATGTTTCCCATATCGAGCAAGCTCATCGCTATATCAATATGACCATTTGGATAAAATCTTTTCTGCATTATCATTGCCTGTTGAATAGGAGTAAAACTTTCGTTGTACTTGTCTTGCCGATAAAACATATAACCCATATAATTAAGGATAAGTGCAACCGATACATGGCCTAACGGGTAATATTTTTCATATATTGCTAAAGCTCGTTGATGACAATTAAGAGCTTCGACATATCTTTTTTCCTTCGTTAAACATAACGCTATCTGAGTTAAACTTGTACCAATATCTACATGAAATGCATCATAATATTTCTCTTGAATTAATAATGCTTGTTGAAAAAAGACTAATGCTTCATCCTCTTTTTGTCTTATTCGAAAGATCAAACCAATATTGTATAAACTAATAGCAATATGTGGATGATAAGGAGAATAATATTTCATGTGAATTGCTAATGCTTTTTGATGAAAATTAAAGGATTCTTCTATTTGTCTTTGTAAATATAATATTTTACCAATATCAGAGAGTATAACAGCAGAATCCTTAATACGAACTGGTTCGTTTTTCATCATTCGTTCATACGAACGATCATAATATATTCTTGATTCATTCCATTCTCCTTTCCAATGATAAGTTTGACCAAGACCATGTTCAATCCATGCTAAATCTTCCGTATGTGAATGATTATTTAATAAATATTCAAAATATGCCTGTGATTGATTCCATTGACTCATATCACAAATTAATTTACCAAAAATAATTGAAGTACTTAAATCTTGAAATTGACGACGTGTATCATCAATATATTTTTGTTTAATTATTTGTCCATCATTAACTGAAATTAATTTAATAATCCATAATTGATCATTCTGTTGAATATTATCTATTCGAAAAGTTGCATTTTAAATTAAATAAAATCGTTTCTTGATCAGATAACTCAAGATCAGCAAAGATTGAATTTTTATTCAATTCAGTTTCAAAGAGCACTGAAATTTGTTTTGTTGATGATGCATGGCAAGATGATCGATCAGTATTTGCTATTAGAAATTCTTTCATCATAATAAGTTTACCATTATGTTCTTGTATTTGATTAAATTCACTACGAGATATAAACATTCTTCGATAAACAATTCGATTTTCTTTGCCAAATTGAAGATTTTGTATTAAATCACTGAGAAAATATCGTAACATATAAAGTTGTTTAATATTTTCATTTTTCAGAGCTTTGTTAATTAATTCTCGAAGTGATGGATATTTCATAAACAATCGTACAGCATCATTTGAGTCATAATCATTGATCCATGGGAATTGTTCCAAGATACTTTGATCTACATTTTCAAACTGTTGATCAGATAATAAATGTAAGAGAACATCCGTAAAAAGTTGATGCCACAGGAAACTATTCGATTGTTTTGATAAATCTTTATTTTCATATTGAATTTCATCAAAAAAACAGCATTGACACATTTTCGTCTCAATTAAATTAATTTGCTTTGTAATTGCTGTAAGTAATAAATCAAATTTATCAAAAATACCAATTATTTTTGAATCCTCAAATGATAAACATTCATTTGAATTGTGTGATACATCAAATAAAAAAATGCTTTTAATTTGATTAAAATTATTAATTTGAGAAATAGATGAAGGAGAAATAATCAGAAATATTGTTTTATCTTCAATTGATTTAATAAAATTAATACATAATTCGAGTTCACTATAAAATATAACTGAATCATTGATTTGTTGTTTTAAATCTTCTATATAATCATTGAATTCATTATTTGGATCAAAACAAATAATAATTATAGTCTCTTCATCTTCAATATCAGTTTGTTGCTCATCACCATTCATTTTATTTTCCATCATATGTAATGTAAAATTGAATATATATATATGTAAAAAGTTGTTTTTTTCCGCAATAAATATTTCGTCATTTACCTTAGAGAAAATGAATGACTCCCTAATGAAGTGAGTATAACACGTGAAAAATATGAGTCATACTTTTCATAGGTGTACTCTGTTTTACTCGGTAGTATACATCATTGATTCGAGCTACTACATCTTCTCCTTTTTTAATACATATTGATATTTTTCTTCGATTTTCGTAGCAATGTTCTATGAAATCAACATTCTCATAATTGAAAGACTTATTAAATAATTAAAAATACGTGCAAAATTTTTCTTATCAAGTATTTAAGATTGATTAACAGCTGTTGAATCTAATGAAAATTATAAATTTAAAATAAAACATGTTTCATACGCTTGTTTATGTTATCTACTAAATTCTTCAATATAAATAAAGAAATGAGCTATTAAAATTCATTTGGTATCATGTGTATGAAGATAAATTGTAAATAAGTCGTTGCGTATATTACACCCATCCGCACCTACGTTCATCACCCTCAAAGTTATTTATCATATTTTGAATTGTAGAACTCGTATTATTTCTATCAACTCTTATTTTTTATTGATCAATATAAAAAATGATTTTCTTATTTTTCAATAGAATACAAGTTATTCCTTCTCGATTATTTTCTATATAGACGTCTTGGGTCACCTTTTTCTCCTCCCTTTCTTGTTTGTCCTTTTTCATGTTTTTGTTGAGTTGATGGATGTGCATTTTTGTATGCTGTTTGCCACCACTACCACCTCTACCACACCCACAACCACGCGCTCTTTTCACTCGGTATCTAAAATGTAAAGTAATCTGCCATAAGGAATGAAAAATAAGATGAAAGATAAGAACTATTCTATGTATTTGTAGAAAAATACTTACTTTGGTAGTATCAGTTGAATCTTTAGATTCAAATCTGACTATTCTTAACATACTTTTATGCTTATACACACGAACAGAAAATAATCTTACATGAAATAGCAAAAGTTAAGTTCTACGAGCATTACTTACTGCATAAAAGAAGAGCGTTCATCTGTTCCATCCATAGGTTCAGCATAAGTTGGTTCAAATTGATCATCAATGGCAGAATTCAGTAGTCCTAAGAAGATAAAAAAACGTTATCCACAAATGTTTGACACTACTGATCGCACTATTATTTTCAACACTGTGTAATATACGTTCTATTTCTTGTTCATCCACTTCTTCAGCAAAATCAGCAACAATTAGTACTGCAATAACCAACGTAAATAACAAATCTCGCATTATTTTACAGATTGAGATCTATACAGCTTGAAAATAAAAGCGAAGTTATAATATGAAAATGTTATTTTTTGTTGCAATATAAATACAAATCTAATCAGTATAGGTCAATTGCGTAGAATTTTCTGCCATAGTTCATGTAGAACTGTAATAAGTCATTCACCTTTTCACGAAATGTCGAACGTTGTTTTTTTCATTTGTTTCTGATGAATCAATCGTTTGAATCTTGACATTTACATTATAATTGCATATTTTACTTTTATATGTTTGATTGTGTCGGTACTTTTTTGCCTATATCAAATGGAAAAGTAATACGTAGTACTTTTTTCCAGCGTAAATTTTGCCAGTACAAATATGTATTGATTGGCCTATTCAGGTAGTTCATTTACAATCAAAGATAATACACAAAACGAAAGATGTACATCACAATAAATGTACAGTATTAAATTAAGTAATACAATAGTAAATTTAAACTGTTACATTTTTTGGGTTGCTTGTAAACAGTTGTAGATTCGGTCAATTGATTAGTAATAGCTTTGATAATAGAACTATTTATTTTTCCAATACGATTTTGACAGAAATGTTTGTTAATTAATAGCATTCGATATTTTCTCATTTCACTTGACATACACATATAAATATACAACGTCGAGTAATCTTTTGCAACTAAATGTTTAACAGCTTTCCATAGAATATCTTTTTTTACTCTATTGGTTATATGATCATAAAGAGAACTAATAACAAACAATATTTCAGATAGCGCTATTATAATCAATTATAAAATCAGCAGACGATCGGTTTCTTTTTTCAAACGATTGTAACGATTAGTAAATACACTGGTTCGACTATTTCGAATAAAACCAAATGCAAAACTTGGAATTCAAAGAGTGAATTCAATGATGAATAGACAATCTATCATCATACAAACATTAGTAGATAAATTAGGGTGTGGGTATGAGTGAATACAAAGTAGATACACACCCACACCCGCATATAGTTTATTATATTTTGCATGGATATTTCCGCTGTATCCGATGCTTCCTCATACTCTAAAAGAACCACTTCTTATAAAATTTCGAAACAGATTGAGGCTCGTTCATCGCTGTCCCTTTGCGAGAGCAAGGAACCTATTACAAATAACAAAAGATATATCAAGAACAGACTAACTTGAATTCAGGAATTTAATTTGAGTCGCTCGACCTTTTACAACGATATTTGCTAGTAGAATACTTTTTATGAAAGTAAAAACGATTACGTAGATCATTTTTTTCAACTGAAACGAATCAAACTGTTTTGCGAAAGGCATCAATGTCTACGCCTTCAGTGACTTGAATTTTTAGAATGATGAAGACTCATATATTTTTGCTTTCTCTCGTATTACTGCTAAATTTCTCTCTTTTTCTTTTCATCTTTTCTCTTTTCTTTCTTCCAGTCTTCTTCTTTTTCTTCATCTTTTTCTTTTTATTATTGCATATTTAATCGATCCTCCCCTAATTCACTAGCGCAGCACAATCTCAATAAAATGTGCCTTTTTATTGTATGCTTATATTCCAGATAGTGATGGGTAACAGGCAGCTGTGAAATCTTACAGTACTAATCGTTAGCACTCTTGATTGTCACAACAAAGAAAGCGAATTAAAAAAACAAAATCCGTGAGAAAGTTTTCCATAAGGTACTTTCCAACATATTAATACAGTCGCGTTAAAATATAAAGGTTATGTTTTCACTATTGTGTAAAAGGACGCTCGTAGTTAATAAAATTACTTATTTCGAAACGAATAAACTTATATTATTACACTACAGACAAGTCAAATTATAAATGGATCGATTTATTATCGTATCTTTGATGTTGTTAATTCTTGGTTCGACACTATGCGAGGTAAAGTTTTTGTCTTAATCGAATATCTTAACATCTGAAATATTTTACTTTTCACACGATTAGGGTGGTGAAGCTATGTGTCGTCAAGTAACTGCTGCTCACACGTGTGCATCACTGGATTGTCCACCATTTATGTATGTAGAGGCTTATCAAAACTATCCATGTGACTGCTTTAAAATCGAAAGACTTCCACATAAAACAAAAGAATGGTATCATATTGAAACATCTAAGGGAAAGTATGGCTATGTACTCGGTGATCACTGTTGGGCCTCAGTTCCACAGTGCAAAAAATAATGTCTACAATCTTGCCGTCATTAACATTTGTTGTCGAGTTCTTTCATCCTATTTATTAATCTGAATATTTGGTACATGGTATTCATTTTCTTTCAAATAAAAAAAGCTATTTAATCATGCCTATACGATTTACACATGTTTTTAATAGTTATATTGTATAAAACGAACAAAACGAGCGTATCATTGAATATAGATATAAAAAACAATTCATATAGAAATTTTGATAAATTTTTTCAAAGTCCAGTGTCAAGTCTTTATAACATTGAATAAAATAGAATGTTATAGCAGCATGAAGTCAATTACGTAGTTACACGTAGTTGAGCTGAATTTATTCAAATATGTGATTTTATTATTTATTTTAGTAATATCAATATATAATGCCGACATAATAGAATAAAAATGAGTATCAGATGACTTTTTTATTTAATTGCGACAAAGCACGTCACATCGAGAAAAAAAAGAAAAAATCATACTCCTAATACTAAACGCTATCAGTGCAGCCAGACAAATTGTCAATATTTGTTAGGAGAGCTCTATGTTAAATCTCTCATTTAACTATGTTATCATTATCATTATCATTATCATATAAGCGCAGATTTGAATAATGTCAAAGTTTTTATATATAATGTTTTTTCTATGAACATTTAATGGCTCACAATCAATTTTTTATGATACCGATCAATTTGGATTTGATTGTTTGCATTATTTTTCAACTGAGCCAGAATTTTCTGAAATAGTCAAATATTGTATTCGTCCCAAAAATGATACGAATCCGATAATGGTTGAATTCTTTAATATATCTGATGATTATTTGAGTTTCGATGAATTATACCGTCTGAATATAACATCACATGAAATTTTCATGTGGTCATCATCAATTGATCTTGCTGAAAAATATGAGTATTATCTTAGTCAACCAATTCAATCCAATCTATCAAATGAAAAATTCTTTAATTGCACACAGCCATGGTTTGGATCACGATGTCAATATTCATTCAAATTTAATGAAGAAAAATTAGTGCAGAATCCTTTTGAAACAGCTTTCGTTGATAATATATTTAATGGAACGTGTTATATTCTTTTAGAATGTGATCGTGGTGGATCATCGATGTGTCTTCATTGGCGTGAGATATGCGATGGTCGAATTGATTGTCTTAATGGTGGTGTTGATGAAATTCAATGTTTTAATTTAGAAATTAATGAATGCGATGAAAATGAATATCGATGTCATAATGGATTGTGTATTCCAAAAATGTTTTTGCAAATGGGTTCTCATGAAGCACAATGTCTTGATAGATCAGATTATTTTGCTAACTTTACCTGTGCAAGATTTTATTTCAATTTCAATCTGTTTGAATGTCAAGAATTTATGTGTCGACCTAATGAAGACAAATTTTCGTGTAGTGATGGGCAATGTGTAGAAGATTATGGTCGATGCCAAAATAATCGCCATCTTGCTTTGGCTCAATCGGTTAGTGTTCAAGGAAATTTATTATACGAATGTTGGATAAGCATGGTTTGTCTTACGAAAATTATTGATAAAATTGCGAATATATCATGTGATGAATTCATTCAATCTTCTGAGATTATCGAACAATTAAAAAGTTGTAAGTTTCCTCTTCAATTTCCAGTTATTCCTGTACTTTATGATTATGTAAGATTCTTATATCATCCAAAAGAGATTAACAATATTAATGTTACACTATCTCTTAAAGCTGATTATATTTGTTATGATGAACAATTATGCGATTTTCTCACACCCACATTTCGCCATGAAAGTTTGGCTTGTCGCTCTAGTGATCAAATGGGTCTTATGATGAACGCTGAATTGACTACTTGGAAATCAATTATCGATTCAATTAAACCATATTTTGATGGTTGTATTACTCGACATTATCGTATCATCGATTCTCATCATTCATCATTATATCGTTGTAAGAATTCGTCGAAATATATTTCTAAACATCGAATTCTTGACGGTATATCAGATTGCTTCTTGAAAGATGACGAGCAAGCATTATCTGAATTAAGTTGTTCATTAAATCAAACCTCTCGATTTCAATGTCCAAACGAGAAACAGTGTCGATCACGCTTTTTCCCAAAAAGTATCTGTACTTTTCCAATACAGATAAATCATGATGATATCTCTTTTTATAAAATATGTGATCGAATCATGGATTTACCCACGATGCTGATTGATGGACGAAATTATTCTGATGAAACTGATTGTGAACATTGGCAGTGCAATAATATCTACACACGATGTGATGGTTTTCAAAATTGTCTTAATGGTGAAGATGAAGGAAATTGTAAAAATGAAATTAGTTCAGAGCATTTTCTGTTCTGTATTTCGCCACAAAATTATACATGCATGTGTTTACCAGCCGATCAAGTCGCTAATGGAATCGTCAATTGTTTTGGAGCATCATTCGATAAATTTCAAAATCTCCAAGTGAACAATATTACTTTTCAAACATACAGATTTCGTTGTTGGAATGACACAAAATGTAGAGAACAGGAAAATCTTTGCAATGACAACGAAGATTGTCCAATGTATGATAACGAACTATTTTGTGATAATAATCCACAATTATGTAATGACTCTGATTTTGACAATCTTATCGATATGCAGTACATTTCATGTCAGGTCATTAATACACGTGATATATCTTTTTCATTAAACACTGCATTAATCTATCCGCCAATATATACGATTCCGAATAATCCTACTGAGAATCCGACTAATGATAAAATGATAAAAGCGCCATTAGTCAAGAGTTTTTCACAGCCTGGAATCTGTAATTCTGGTTTATACGTTTACCATCGACTTGGAGTCAATAATTATAGTAGTTTATGTTTTTGTCCACCATATTATTATGGTGATCGATGTCAATATCAAAATCAACGTGTCAGTCTTACCTTAACATTGGCAACTGTTAGACAGCCAATTATTTATGCTATTGTTGTTATGTTGATAGAGGATGACAATGATCGACAAGAAATTCATTCGTATCATCAATTCATTTATGAACCACTAGAACATTGTGATAAATATGTGAATTTCTATCTGTTATATTCGAAGCGTGGAAAGAATAATTCAAAAAACTACAGTATCCATATCGATGCATTTAATAAAGATTCACTGGCATATCTAATAAGTTGGCATTTAACGATTCCATTCGTATTTTTACCAGTCAATCGGATAAGTGCTTTTTTAACTCTTCCGATTTCTCGAACATTCAATTCTAAACACTGTACTCTTCAATGTTATAAAGGTACTTGTAAGAAGTATCATAATGAAGAACGATTCTTCTGTCAACGTTATTCAGGTTGGTCCGGTGCACAATGTCGCATTCCAATCGATTGTAGTATGTGTGCATCAAATTCGATTTGTATCGGTTCGATTCGAAACCGATCAATCTGTGTCTGTCCTCAAGGAAAATTCGGTTCCTCTTGTCGTCTTCAACTAATATGTCCAACAGGGATCTGCAAAAATAATGGTCGTTGTATGATGATCGATGAGAGAATGGTTGATGTAAGCTATAGGTGCTTTTGTTCTGAACAATTTTTTGGGCCGAGATGCGAACATGTCAAATATAGAATAGATATTTCCCTTGAAAATATTGAAACTCCGTTATATTTACTCGCCTATATTTATACCAGGATCCGTTTCGAACGATTACCACCAAGATTTGTTATACTCCGGAAAATGACTATGTTTCAGACTAGTGTCACCTTGTACTCTGAAGCTCTGTTCCAAATGGTTATTGTCAAGATTGATAATCGTTATTATTTGGTGGTACTACGAAAACTTGTATCATCCAACATAGTAACCTCCATCAGTCCCGCTCAACGATGTGTTCCAATTCATGAACTTTTAACTGCTCAATTACTCTCATTGCCACGAATTCAACGATTGAAAAGCTATCATATTCTATGCCAAGATAATGTTAATCTACAATGTTTTGTCGATGAATTCTACATGTGTTTGTGTACGGAAGAACGTCATAGTAACTGTTTTCAATTAGAACATCAACAGACTTTTGCCTGTGAGGATGATGTTTATTGTGAGAATGGTGGAACATGTTTACAAGATCAACGTATATGTTTTCTTAATATTCTATGTATATGTTCTGATTGTTTCTTTGGTAATCGATGTCAGTTTTATGCTAAAGGTATTGGATTAACATTAGATGATTTATTACGTTATGAAATTCGACCTAATAATACATTAAATGATCAACCACT